TAAAATGCTCCCAAGTGATTAAATGAGGTTTTTGTTACTTTATACTTGCATTTTGTTCATAATTTGTACAAGAGTTGGAAATATACTTCGTTTGGATAAAAAGGAAAGTTGACGGCTTTGACACATCTTTGTATTTTGGCTATAACTTGAGCTACAATAATCGAATTGAGATGATTCTTGAACCATTTTAAATATAAGAGATAGATCTACAATTCATGTGAAGACATCAAAATCCAGTTTTAAGGTTTTCTAGGTTAAAAAGCCGAATTACAGTAGCTAATTTTTTATGGTCGAAGCTGAGACAAGGTAGTGAGCAGTCAAGGGTATTTCTGTTATTTATCTACCTACACAAATCCAAATGAGGTGATTCTTGATGCATTGGAAAGCTAACTCAAAGGGTTACAAGTTTCATGTTTTGGTCAAAAGTTAATTTAGCTTCTATCATCAAGAAAAGTTCAGTTGAAGTTGACGCAAAATTGGAGTAATATTGAAGACTGAACAGAAATTGCTAAGAATGGCAGGGGAGTAATCCGTCCAATAATCCGGCCGGATTCTGGTTAGAAATACCCTTGACTGCTCACTATCTTGTCTCAGCTTCGACCATAGAAAATTAGCTACTGTAATTTGGTTTTTGACCTGGAAAACCTTCAAACTGGATTTGATATCTTTACATGAATTATAGATCTATCTCTTATTTTCAAAATGATTCAAGAATCATCTCAATCCGATCATCGTAGCTCAAGTTATAGTCGAAATATGAAAATGTGTCAAAGCTGTCAACTTTCCTTTTTATCCAAACGAAGTATATTTCTAACTCCTATACAAATTATGGACAAAATGCAAGTACAAAGTGACAAAAATCTCATTTAATCACTTGAGAGCATTTTAATCTAATTATAGCCAAAATAATCCATTTTTTTCATACAATATTGCCAAAGTGGATAAAAATAACATAAAATGTCATTCAAATATAACGTAAATTAGTCACTTGTCATTATTCATCTCAGCAAAATATACATCTGTCACACTCTTTGTATCACTAAATCAACTTCGTTTTTAATCAAAATAGCCTACATCTTGAGCTACCATATCCCAAAATTGACATTCCTGTCGAATTTCTCAGCAACAATCTTTGTTATTATCATTGTTGACACAAAACTCAAAACTTTCAAAGAAACTCTGATACCAGTTTGTTAAGTCTGACCCCAAGAAATTGACAAAAGTGTTTTTGACAATCTCAAAAGACAAATAACAAAGTAGAAATAAATAAAATAGAAGCACAGTAATTTACGTGTTTCGATCAAATTAACCTACGTCCACAGGCGGAGGAGGAGCAAAATTTTACTATGAAGAAGAGAGTACAAAAATGTTTTAGAAAAGTGTTTCTAGACCCAAAATACCTAATACTCAAAACACAAGAGAGTCTAAAATATTTTACTTAATAAAAGATTTAATGACCCAAAGGCTCAAATAATCCACTAAAACTTTCTTGGTTTAGTGCATTTAATCCTATCATAGGCCCACTCTACTTAGTCAACTAAGGAAAAAAACTCATTTACAAAAAATGATGTGGGACAAAGCCACACATAACAGCAGTCAATTATTGTCGGTACTTCATGGTCCATAACTTAGTGCTGAATATTGATTTGAGAAAAGGGCAACTAACAGGCTTTTCAGTTTTCAATGTTTAAACAGTCAGAACGGTTCACTCTTTTTTTTTTTTTTTGTTAAATTACCAAGCACCGATTGTGATTTTGCATGTTGTTACATGATTCCTACTAAATCTAGAATTTCATGTAAAGTGATGGTTTTGCATGTCTACATGATTTTTCTATGATTTTATGCAAAGTGTTCAGAACCTTATTCTATTTAGTACTTTGACTAAGTTAATACTGGCATTTCAACTAACACATTACGTATATATATCCACATGATTTTTCTATGATTTTATGCAAAGTGGTCAGATCCTTATTCTGTCTAGTACTTTGAGTAGGTTAGCACTGGCATTTCAACTAACACGTTACGTAGATTTATTTCCAAATTCAATGAATATTATACTTCATTTTATCTTATTCAAATTCATATAAAAATTGTAAAATTGAACAACTAACAAGTCATAAAAGAGAGCACTTAAAACATTCATGCAACTAACAAATATGCAAACAATTTAGTTTTAATTGAAATGACAGTACATGTCACCCAAACCCAAGCAAACAACAAAAAATTTTCTTATATTTCACCTATAATCAACTAACTAATTTTCATATCATAATTAGATTTTTTTTTCTTCTAAGGCAAAAGGGAAAAAAATTCATGGATTAATTTGAATGTATCCATATTGAACATGCCATTATAAAATTAGTAGGAAAAAGGAATAGTTGTTATTTGTGCTTTATGCTGCATTGTCTTCAAATAAAATTATAAAAACAATAGAAGAAAAATGAAAAAGAGAATACTTAACGACCTTTGTCAATAAAATCTTAATTGATGATAATGAACATTTACATAGAAATAATTAAATATAATGGATAAAAATTCCCTTGTGGATTATATAATTACAGAGAGTTTATATACTAAAAGTATGTACATAAACAAATTAAAAAGTGGTACCAAAAATTAAAATAATAGTGCAGCTAACTTCATACTAAAGGACTTCATCAAAACGCTACCTCATTCAACTCATATTACATGATAAATAATACTTGTCTTCTCTACAAATAATTAGGTTTTATATGAAATTAAAATTATGGAAAACTTGAATCAAAAGAAAAAAGAAATACCATTCACATACTTTATTCTTAAATAATTAACCGATTGTAATTTTACAATTAAATAGTCAGTATTGATAAGTATTGATATTACAAATACTATTCATGAAGTGATTAATAATTTATTCAAATCTTAGTTTTTAATTATTAAAATCTGATAATTTTACTAGAAAGTACATCACATATTTTATTTTCAATAGGAAAAAGACATATCTCAACCCCAACAGATAAATGAGCATGCAAAGTCATAGGGGGAGGAAAGTAGATGCATAGTACAATAATCGAAATGATGAAGATCTAACAAGTCAATTTATGCTGTATTCTAATGCCCCTTTTAAAATTTTAGTAGCACTTGCAAATTAGATTTGTTTCTCATATGCATACTTGATGTGTGCATATATATTTTCTTCTCAAAAACATTATTTTGAACTGTGCAAAAAAGTACAATTTATAATTTAAGGGTAATCACAACACCTTTGGTAAAACATGATAATATTAACAATTGTTATAAAGTTCAATCCAAATTTTAGTAGCTACAAAAATATCATATTTAGGTTATTATACTTACATGCAAAGTATGTGTAGTATTTTCCTTTATGCACGTGAATATTTTTTTTTCAAGATATAAAATCTTTAACATATTAAGTTTTTGTGTACAAATTTGACTATTGGCATAAAATAAATTAAGATACTATATATTGAACACAATTAAGTAATTGGTAATTGTAGAAAATGTTTATTGTGTACAAAACAATTAAAATTTTATTGTACATTTTACAGTTATAAAATCTCTAAAGATGGTAGATTATCATATTTAAGCTAAGTTGTTAATATAATATTGACTAAGAAACCATATAAAAAAATTAAGCAATTGTTAGTTGTAAAAAATGTTTATTTTATACAAAGCAATTAAAAGTTTATTAAACTCTGAAGATGGAAGATTATCACATCTAAACTAAATTGTTACATATTTTATTTGGATTGCGACAATAAGAAGTGGAAATTTTCTATGTTCTATCAAACCAGCGTATACAACAAAACCTGACCAAAATATATACTAAAACATTATGATTTGGATACAACAAATTTTTATCAATTTCAGTAGTTGAAAGCCTTTTTGTTATATATTTTTATAATTATCAATAATTTTTTTGAAGTTTTCTTATTCAATATGACATAATATAGTGAATTTAATCATCAATTTAACCTTTTGTTTTCTCATTGATTGTTTATAACCTTTTGTCTTCTTATTAATTGTGACTTTCTTCTAAACCAATACGTATATAAAATAGTTAGCTTTAATTATCATGCATAAGAATATAATAATTGCAAATAAATTTAACACATACAATAATTTGAGATGCAGAAAATGATTGGTGAATATAGTTGTAAGTGGATAGTTTTTAATTTTAATTACCAACATTTTTGAGATGTAATTTATTAAAACTTTTCATTTTTTTATTATGATTGAAATGCAATAATTCTAATTAAAAGACATGAGGGTAATTTAGGCATAACAAAAACTAAAATCAAAATATGCTTATACTTACACTTTCTACTGCTAAGATTCATCATACGTTTTATATAGTAATAATTAAATATCCACTTTACATAAAATCACAGGAAATTACGTGGATATTTTAAAATATTAGACAGTCATGCAATAATGTGCAAACACTGCAAAGTCAGGGGAGGTCACTAGTGATTTATTCTTTTCTTTTTTTTTTTGGCTTGCATTTTGCGGTTGACTTTGCAATGCACTTGATGCAAGTTACTTCAATAGAAAGGAGCTGAGCTTTCTTGTTTGCGTCTATTTTTCTTTTGGTAAAATTCTTTGAAGAAAGTGATTTGTTAAATATTTTAAAAGGAAATTTTGTTCTTTAAAGGCTTTGAGAACTGCTGCACAAATTGATTATCAAATTTAGAATAGCATAACAGTAAACTTTAAAACATATTGACCTTTGACAGATGCAAAGGCACTGGCTTCCCAAGAACTTTTAGTCGAATTTAGAAGATTTTGAGTTTTTTTTCTTTTATTAAGATCCTGAGTTAGTCAATTTATTGCTAATTGGTTTTCAAGATGAATATCAAAATTCTTTATGGTGGTATTCGAGTTAGATTTCAGCTTTTATTCATGAAGATGTTTATCGTTACATTCTTTACTGGGCTTTTTCCCCATATGAAATTCACCTAAATCAAAAGATGACATGCAAAAGTTCCTCACAAACTTGCTCAAACTTTTTCAGTCTGCACGAAATTGACATGAATAAGCAAGGGCAGTGCTTAGGATTCTAGCCCTCTATAACAAAGGCAATAACGAATTTGGTAATACACATAGTCGAATATCAGATATGATGTGTCCATGAGCACAAGGGCCAACAGACAAGAGATAAAGACGATCACCACCACGAGGAGCCTGTCGTCGGTAATCACGACTTTCTGCACTAGTAATGCTTGACCAGCTGCTGCGATTGTGAAGACCGCAGAGTTGAAGAAGGCAATGACGACCGTCACATAGTAGAAGGGCAGGGAAACATAAAAATCCTCAGTTTCGAATCGCATAAAGATGATCACAAGCAGAGGCCCCATGGTGAACAGAGCGGAGAACAGCCCTGCAGCTAAGTAGAACATCAACAAGCCGAATTCCCAGGGCCGGTTCTTGAGAAAAATGGCCTCTCCAGTCGTTTGATCGAAACCTCCAGGTACAGTAAAAATTGCAGCAAAGTTTATGGTACCAATGAGGACAGACACAATCAACACAGCGTTGGCCAATTCTTTCACAGTTTTCTCAGCACTTTCACGTAGGCTTGCATGTTTCGTCTCGAATAATTGTTTTGCTGTCTTCCCATCAGAATTTTGTAGTTCCCAGAGATATGGATAACAGTCATATTGAACCCGCTGTTGAGCCAAAGATCAATCATAAGTTGCAAATATCCGGAAAAGAAAATAAAACAATATACAACAGGCAATGCAATACTGGTATTAATTTAATTTGGTACCTTAAACCAGAGGAATTCCCACATCATTTGCTGAAAAACTCCAGGGGGAGTGCTGGGAGGGGATTCCAGGCGTGCTGCGAGATGTATAATGCTATTTCCTTCGTGATCAATATCACTTAGCATCATGTCCATGTTAGTACTACTAGTCATCAAGTAGTCGTACAAGAACCATTTTTTCTCCTCCACTGCAATTTGCAGTATATTCCTTCCTTTTCCATCGAAGGTATATGCAGCTTCAGGGTAGACACTGAGGATTTCCTGAACTACCTCAATGATGCCCAGTCTCGTTGCTTGTATTAGTGGATCTGGCATACTATTTTTCTTTTCTGATGATATCCCGAACTGGCTGCCTTCATGATCTTTGTCCTCTGTATGCACATAGTGGCTCCAATCTTCTCTTCTGATTAACCTTTCTGCAAGCATTAGTGCAACTGCATGGCTTTGCTTTGCATCATCAATTTCTTTAAGCCAAGGACAACCTATAGGCAAATACATCAAATTGGGTAAGCCATTAATGAGTACTTCAAGATCCATTACATGTCCTAGGCTTTTTTGTTATTTTTAGCATCTATTATTTTGGCACCAATCTATTGGGTTCTTAAAAAGAAACAGTTTGAGGAGGTTCAATTGGCGAAATGAATTTCTAGACTTGCAATTGCTTGTTTACACATTTTTTCTACAGCTTGCCGACGAATAAAAGATATGTGAAGTAAAAGGAAATTGAAGAGAGCATGCAGACCCAGCTTAATACCACTGGAAAACTAAATTCTTACATGCTAAATTCTTACATTAGGCATGATCATGGTTCGAAGACTCGGCCGAGACCGAGACGTCTCGGCCGAGTCGTAACCGTCTCGGCCTAGGCCGAGACGATACCGCGACGAATCGCGACCGAGATACTCGTCTCGCCGAGAAATCGGCCGAGACGTCACCGCGACGGGTTGTCACAGTCGAGTCACCCCAAGTCTCCCCGAGTCATCCCGAGTCAAGGTGAATTTAACAAAAAATCTATAGAAAAAAAGCAAAAAAAGAATTAAAAAAGGGAAATTCGAGGACCTCTCTACTGCCTATATCGAACCATGGCTAGTACTGATGATCCTTCATACGGGGAAAGAAATGCGAGTGATGGGAAATAGAAACAAATTTGCCACAGTACTATCACGTGAAAAGATGCGTTTTCTTTTCCACCTTGGAGGTGTACTACCTTCACTTTACTTTGAAGGTACTACCTTGAATAGTCCACGTTAAACATACTACCTTCACTTTACTAAATTATTGGACTAGTAGTGTTGCAGAACGTAGTAATCCTTTCCGTTTCCTTCAATTCTTCTTCATGGTAACTTAACTCTGTCTTCTTGCAGAGCTTTGGAATTCCGCCCTCTGAAACAAAGTAGAATGTTGCAAAAAGATAGTGCCCAATGGAGTCATTTGGCCATACCTCCACAGAGATAACCCAGATGGTTGTGATTCATGTCCTTTTTGCCTTGTTCTCCCTTGCCTTGTCAAGCTTCAGCAGGTAATTGATTTTCTTATTGTACCTTCAGATATTCTGCTTGTAAGGTGCTCTAAGACATTAGAGTTATTAAAAGAAACTGATCCATTACAAGGGCCAACTGTAGCTTTCCCAGACAGTCGTTTCACTTATGATATGAATATACAGATTGGTTTAGGATAGAGTGTTCATCAATTAATAACAAAAGTAGTGGTAGCTTCAGGATTCATCAAGTGAATAGAATAATAGAAAAACCTCCCATCGTACTCAGTCTTCATGAGAGTGGGGGCATAAGTACTGATGGTTTTGCAATGTGTAGACTAAATAGCAGTAAAGAGATGAATAAAGCGAGGGAGGGGAAATGGGAGGTGAGTCCCAAGGTTTTGGGTGAAAGGGAAGCAGAAAGAAATGGAGTGGATTTGTTTACAGCTAGAATGAGGTGGTGGATTCTCATCTGAGGGCAATCACGACATTATTGCTTTGCTCATGTGTTGTTCAGTTGATGCCAGTAGGGAATTCTTGGGGGTCTAGGTTGTTTAGCATACTTTTTTTTATATTATTAACAGTTTTTAGAATATTAAATGCTTTAAAATTTGCGTCTCACCGAGACCGTGACCGATATGCCGAGACCGATGTGGAACGTTCCGGGCCGCGACCGCGACTTTGAACCATGGGCATGATAAAGAAACTAATTTACTCAAAGGAAATAAGACCTTCTTGTAACTACGAAGGTAGGCTAGACTATGCTTCAACTCTCAAAAGAAGAATTTGGGAAAACAAAATTTTATCAACATATTCTATCATCACTAGCATGAGTGCATATGTAGTAGATGCAAGAAGATGCTTTACCCAAGATATAATTGACAGAAGAAGATCTGTCCAATTTATGAATGGAAGCTGAATTGCTTGGTTCTTCTGCACTGTTGACAGGTTGCGATTCCTTGTTCAAGACCGGAATACCTGCCAGCAACACAACGAAATGATAGTATCACTCTTTCAAAATTTTGAGGGCATTTAAAGCCTGCTTCCTCGAAAAAACCAGGTGGCAGATAAAATGGTTGGATCTGCATTGACTTCAAAATCATATCACATTCAGCCCAATGATTATTGTCAATTTGCCCAATCAGCTATGCGGGTAGAGTACTTAAGTACTTGAAAAGAATTATGTTGCAACTTGCATGCGGGTAATAATACAGCACCTACACCAATAGATTATAGCCCGGAGTATATGCAGAGGAATGAGGGACTTCCTCCCAAGATCGTTGAGCGTGTAGGCAGAAACACTCCTGAAGGACTCTGGTTTTGCAGCCAAAAGATGTAAAGCAGTTTTTCCTTTTTCATTACGTTTGCCAGCAAGATCAGGATACGACTCCAATATGCCAATTGCCAAACCTGTTTGATACAATAGAGCGAAAACTTGAAAAGGACTAACATTTAATGCAACAACATCCCACATCATATTCCACCAGCATAGACCTAGACAAAAGATAAGATAGCATAATCTGATAAACTGAACAAGCATAGAGTTCAAATTCAGCAACAAACTTGATTACTTTTGCAGAGACAATCAAAATTTTACTTGATAGAGAAGCTTACTGTAATATCCTCCAATTACAGCAGCATGAAGGATTGTGCATCCATCATTCCTCCTCATCATGCAATCACCGATGTACTTTTCCAGAAGTGAGAAAACTTCCTTTTTCCCACATGCAGCAGCCACAAAAAGAGGGGTTTCACCCAGTTTGTTTCTCTCAGACACTAAATCCTTTTCTGTCCTTAACATGATCTCTGCAACATCCTTGTGGCCAAATCTTGCAGCTTCATGCAATGCAGTGTGGCCATTGACATTCTTTGCCTTCAGATTTTCAATTGTCACAAGACCATCCTGGAGAAGTAATCTGAAGGCATCCACATTTCCGCAAATGGCCAGAAAATGGAGAACAGTATCACCACGTTTATCAAGTGGTTTCACACCTTCTTCCCTCCAGAAACTGCGAAAGGTTTCTACCGACTGTTTTTTTCCCTCTAAGACTGCTCTATAAGCAGCAGATCGGTTGCTCCTATCCTCGTTGATTCTTGAGCTTGCCATTTTTGGATAGGCACAGAAAAAAATTCTTATGAGAGTGCTGTATCAAGTAAATCATCCATATATAGCATCAGAATTTCGTGTATGCGAAATGCCAAATTGGTAATGTACCACTCAACAAAAGAAAAGCTTGGAGGAAATGACAAGCAAGGAATTGCTTTAGTGCCAAAGGTGGACATTAAAAAACACTAAAAAGATTACCACGATTTGGAAGAATCTTATAAAATGGTTTAAAAGCTTGAACATTGGCCCCTCCAAAATGTGATAATGGAAGCTCTTAGTCTCAGACCGCACCAACTGCCAAGCCTGCTTTTACTGTATTGACCTTCAAACACAAGGAAAGAACAATGCCCACCCACCCCCCCTCCGACTCCTCCGACTAAAGTTTGGTGTCATATTTTTGTTGCATTTTTACCCATTGACTAACGGTCAACACTAACGATTGAGCAAAAAAGATATTGATGACTTCAAAATAATAATTAGTGGAAACAATGTTGGAGAATATCCTTTTTTTTTTTTTTTGTCTCGGGAGGATGTTCGTACTCCTTACAAATGGAATCCAACCACTTGAGAAAATCACATGCTCTTGAAATATATTCTATAATCTAAAATCAAATCATTTCATGCATAAAAAAATCATAAAATAATTAGCAGAAAAAGAGTACCATCCAAGTTTTACAACAAAATTTTCGATTGAAATATTCAAATTTCCATGACACGTGCAAAAGAGATATCTTACCAAAAGTTGTGTCGTACCTCCATTTATTGATTTCACAATTTTAGAAAGAATATGTTTAACAATAGCAAGGTTTTGAATTTACTTAATATGATTAGATTTTTTTTTTGGGAACTCAATTCATGATTTTCTAAAACAAATGAATATCATTAGAAATGGGTGATATGTAAAAGTTGGGCAGGAAAAAGAAGAATAGAGGAAAATGGAGATAAGGTAAAAATGAAACTTTATAGAGTTTATCTGTAAAAGCTAGGTGTGACTTAATAACAGGAGGCAAAGTGCAACAAAAATATTGCCAGGGAGGAAAAAATCCAAAAAGGCGCCAATGAAAGAGTAAACTTACAGGAGGTGCAAGTAACTTTAATGGCGCAACAGTTTGTTACATAAAACGAGTTCACTATTAAATTAACTCATGTTATCATCCAAATCTTTTTTTTTTTTTAGTTTTTTCTAGTAGGGAGTGAAATCCAAAAAGCAGGGAGCCAAGACCTTTAAGTCCTGTAAATTTAACTTCAACCACTAGATCAAAACCTTTTAATCATCTTTATCTTACTTATTAATACTTACCAAATATTTCATTAACCGCAAAGAATGAATGCAGTTAATTGAAAGGCACTAATGAATTATAGCATATCTTTGAATCTCTTACACCTCGTGCAATTAAACTTTCTCGACATTACGTTATCATTTGAAGAGTTGTACTTTAGTGCAGTTGAAGCACATGAAAAAGCTCATTTGTGCCCTGCGATTGCTAGTTTTTCCATCCAATTGACTCACGGTCTCACACTGGAGTGGCCTTTTCTTCTTCCCCTTCATATATTCTGCGTCTAGCTTCAATTACCTGTTACAGATATATCAATCCACACGAGTAAAAGTCAGGCAGCTAGCTGATTTAGTATCAACAAGATTTTACTAATCACTAACGAATTGCGTTCTAGAATTAACTGAAGTGAAATAATGTGAAAGAAAATTCCAACCTGATTTTCCCAGTTTGTCAGGCCTGTGATGATGGACAAGAGAAGACTTTGCACCGTGGCTCCGGCGACCAGTCCACTCCAGAGACCCATTCCTCTTAAATGCAGTGCAAATCCCAGGATTAAAGCCACCGGAATTCCAACCAGATAATATGCCCCAAGATTTACATAAGCTCCTAAGTGCTGCCATCCACTTCCTCTTGCTACCCCTGGTGCCAAAAGATGGCATTGGCTTAGAAGATGATAGGAAATAAAGGTTCAATGTCTTGCCTACTTTGACATTCTTCTATGATGTCCTGAGCTTACCGTTTAAAGTTCTGAATTCGAAAAATGGTGGATTTTTTTGCCTATGGAACATTCATATGTTTTATAGTGAAGAAATTCTGTTTATAAATCAGCCAACATGAAATCAGACCTTAAGCTAATAGAAAGCAGACAATCCGGTGAAAAAAGTTTATCAGTTCAGAACGTTTCATTAGCTTCAGTGATATGATTATTGTGTTCTTGACAACTTCAATTTTCTTTGTTCCATCTTCATGGTCATGCGTGTATATCTGTCAATACTTATGCCTGACCAAAGAGGACCATTATCATTTTCAGTCCACATGGGATGCATTATATATCAGGTTCTCAGGGCTCAAACTATGCTGCCAAATTACTCTGGATAAAGAGTAAAGACTACGAGCGAGATGAATTTTGCAAGTCAAACTCTATTTCCTTTGCTGAATGATGTCAGGGAGATTTACATTATATGTATAATGTTAGTTCTTTCCAAATTGCAATACCACCTCGGATGTCTTTCCAACTAGTCAAAAGATTAAGAAAGCTTAAAGCCAAGACAGCAAAATACCTGATAATACTGCTTGTGTGCCATCCATGATGATGGAAATGCATAGAAGATAAGTCATGCGTTTGACATAGTCAATAACTTCTTTCTCGTCGCTGAAGGCATATCCAAGTATGGAATGGCAGACATATAAAGTTATGCTTGCCAGAAAAAATTCTGATACAGATTCTAATAGTACCGTACAAAGAGCAATTCTTGCTGCCACTGGATTCCCAGCTCCTAGCTCATTTGATATCCGTGTACTATAAAATACAAAAGATATTCTTTTTAGACAAATCTTACTTGCATGAAATCATAACACTTTTCCGTTGTATAAGTAAAAACACCATATTCAATTTATCAATGCATCTTAGTGTAAGGGCAAACCTTGCAGCAACACTAAAAGAGTACGGTATGAGGTAGTGCAGTGAAGTAATGGTTAAGCTGCTCAAGGGAAATACAAAATCAGTAAGAATTAGTTTTCAGGTTCTAATCGCTGTATGAAAATGCTGACAAATAAGCTTACCATATAGATAGCACAGAGGTCTCTAGCTTAGGATTTGGTGACAGGCCAGACAGCAACACAACTATCTCAAATGCCCACCACTCCAAACTACCATCATCAGGAAGATTAACAGATAGTAAAGAACCAGAGGACAAGAAATATCTGGACAATAGGAGAGGCTTAAGGATTAAAACTTACCAAATCATTACAGCGGAAGGGATAGCAAAACGGAAGAATCCCCCCATTGTTTGAAGAGCATCCATTGAGAAAGGAACACGAGTCTTTTTACAGGAAGAAGAATACTTCACATACAGCACAAGCAAGATGGCGTTTAACCAATATGATATACCAATTGACAAAGCTGCTCCAGCATTCCCAAGCTTCAACTTGAATACAAGAACCCAACAAAGAGGTAGTTGTAAGGATACCGATGCAACTGTACTAAGCAGCATTGGAAAGACTAAACTCTGAGTCTGGAGAAAGCAACCAAGTGACTGGAGAATGACATAAGGGAATAGTGTAGGTATGAGCCAGATCAAGTATTTGCCAGCCTCAGTTGCAATTACAGGATCTTGGCCAGTGAGTATTAACAGCCTGTCAGTGAAGATCCACAGAAGGGATATTGGTATACAAACTATAAAGAGACATATGATGGCCCCATAAGTATAGGTTCCAAGTCTCTGGTATTGTTCTGCTCCAAAAGCCTGACCACACAAGGTCTCCAGTGCACTTGACATCCCAAACTGCAACGTAGTTAATTTGTTTCATTTCTTAATAAACATATTTCAAGAGCACATATCTAGTTGATAGTGAATTTAATCAGTATAATCACAGGTTATAAGTGGAATCAAGCTTTGTAATGTGCAGTGTAAGTATTCATCATCATCGTCATCATTGTTAATGTTACTAGATTTTTTTAAATCACAATGACAATTCTATATGAATACGCCATTTCTCTTGTATTTTCTGCAAGTAACTATGCAGAACGCTATGTTACGTGTGTTCAACAATTTATCTAATTTGACTACTTCAACCTTTCTAGTAGAACAGAGAGAAGGCATGACACACTATATGTGCACCATGTGGCATGCATAAGTGCCTCACTAAGTAATGATAGTGAGTCATACCTGTGATAACTTAGTGGTACAAGTTCAGCACCACCTAATAATTTATGTATGATTGGATCTGGTGTTATAGACCCTGGTCCGCATTGTGCATTCTACATAAATAGTGCAGAGTCAAGAAGAGCCAATTTCTTGGTAGGGTAGGAAGTTAAGGGTTCAAATCTTGTCTCCCATCACTTTATCGGTGTATGTGGTTTCTCCAAATCTATACGGGTGTACAGTGCACCCACATAGTCCGATGGTAATTCAATCCCCGTCGGTTCTTCAATTGATCTGGTTGGATTTCCTCCTAGAATAGGCAAGCGTAGGAGTAGAAGTAGAGTAGATGGTGATAGTTGACAAAAAAAAAGAAAGAAGAAGAGCCAATTTCTGTGAGACACAGTTCTTGTAGGGTGGATTTTTATCAAACAGTTCCCTAGTACACCACATTTTCTCATATTAATTAATTTTCCCTTGCTTTGGTTATCGAAAATATAGCATATGCATCTCAGAGTATATCTTCTAGTCCTAGACGAAGATTTGACTGACTATAATTTTGTGGATAATTGAATGATAATCTCAACAGCATGTATCAGATGAACATTTTGGGGTATTATCTATTATGGGAAAGGACTTACAAGAACACTGAAGCCAGTAACATTGGAAAAAGATGTGGCAATGGAGGCACCAGAGAGTTGGAGTTGGCCAAGGTGGCCTAACATAAAGATTGGAGAAACTCTCAAGAGATATTGTCCCACTGTTGCTACCATCATCGGAAGTGCTATGCCATTTACCCTTTTCAACTCTTCAACATAAATCTTCCAAGTTGCCACCCTTGTTGATCCTGTCTCCTTATCATTTTCTGGCAGCAGCGCCTCTTCCATGCTCTCTCTTTTTTCTTGCAGGACAACTCCCTTGTACTTCCTGAATCTGGAGATTTTCTACAATATCAGAAAAGAATATTATAGTAATAAGTAAATGAACAACTAAACAAATATCTGCTTGATTGTACAGAAAGCCGTATCCATCACGAACCTGGAAAAAGAGGTACAGAGAGCCACTCAAAACAGTTTTCTAGCAGATGTGAGAAAAAGTTCAGTGGAAACTTCTCTCCATCCTATCCAGCCTGAATCAACCATTTGCTGTTTTTTGTCCTTTTGTTATTGTTTTTCTTGCTGGGGAATCTGTAAATGCACCCAATTATAGGAAGAATATCTGAGAGTTCATTAAAAGTAAAAACTTAAATCCTTTCCATCTAACCTGTCACGACCCGAATCTAAGAGGTGGGTCGTGACCAAGGACTGATCCAAGCAAATTACTATGTAACCATTGGACCTTTTGTCATTCATTTTTTTAACCTCTTGCTTTTACCGATGTGGGAGACTTTTGTCATTCTTTTTTTTAACCTCTTGCTTTTACCGATGTGGGATGCGGGACTAGAGGTGGTTCCCATCGCACGTGACACTTAGCACTTTCTTATATAGGACGAACCATAATCCACTGACTCAAATTCACCCGACATGGAGACCACGCTCGGTCCAAGGGTTGATCCAATACTATACAGCCATTGGACCTAAGCTTTTAAACTTTTCGGGTTGACCCAAGCAATTTACTATGTAGCCATTGGATCTATACCTTTAAACCTTTGTCATTGGACATAAGCCTTTAAACCTTTTGAGCTGACCCAAGCAATTTATTAAGTAGCCATTAGACCTAAGCCTTTAAATAATTCCTTTCCTCTTGCTTTTACCGATGTGGGATGCGGGACTAGTGGTGGTCCCCGACGAACGGGGCACTTAGCCCCTTGCACTTTCTTGTGTAGAAAGAACTATAATCCGCTGGCCAAGAGTCACCTCACACCATATTTATTCTGATACCAACTGTCACAACTCGAATCTCAAAGTTGATCCCAAAGTCACGCCGAAACCACGCGAGATTCACTCTGATACCAACGACTCGAGTCCAAGGACTGATCCAAACAATTTTTTGGATCGAAATCCAAAAATTCAAAATAGTTAACGCAAATTACTATGTAATCATTGGACCTAAGCCTTTAAACCTTTCCTTTCCTCTTGCTTCTACCGATGCGGGATACCTCATAACCTATCAACTTTGACAATTCCAATTGCATGATACAAACTAGCCACTTTACTAATGTCATCATCATTCACAGTTTCAACCGAAAGTAGTAATAATAATATGCCCGAAATATCTGAAATATGTCTCTCTGATAGGGTGTTAATTGTTAGTAATTTTATTGTTAATTTTCCCCTTTGTCCTTGCCAAATATTGTTTAAATTATTAATATTTACTTATATTTGGTATTTGGATTTAATTTCAGGAAGTGGAACTGAAACGTGCTAAAAAGAAGAAATCATATTGAGAAAAAGACTCCAAGCGTGGGAGATTTTCCACGAGCCTGGCCCACGTTGTACTGGAACCGGATTGTCTTCCTTTTTGCTGATTAGGAGTGTTTTGGAGTATTAAAGTTTTTGACTATCAAGAGGGAACTAAAAAGGAGGACTTCGGAGGACTACAGGGGATGGACTCTTTTCTCAATTGCGTGGGGACCACGGAGATAAGAAGCATGAGTCATTTTCCTTTGGCTTTAAAAGAAGACAAACGTACAGGAGGTTTGCTTATCAATAGTTTTAGCTTAGCTTTTAGCATAGTTTAGTTTTATTCTTTCTTGGTTCCCTTGATGGCCTACACCTCAATTAAATTACGTGGAGATTTTCTCATGAGGCGTGGCTAAGATTCTCATCTAGTCGAAGGTCAATTTGAGGACTCGGTTCCGAACATCTGTGAGATCTAATTATTTTATTTATTTCTTTTATTTATTGGTATTTGTACGTTTCCTGATTTAATTGTTTATGATTGTTTTGTTATTTGAATGTCAAGGGCCCGATATTCGAATTAACCTAATAATCTACTGTCATATTAATTGATTGAATCCGTAATTGTTCTATCGATTAATACCAGTGGCGACTAGCGTGATTGGTTTCATGTTAGGGAAACGTATGATCTAACTTAAACAAACCCTCGTAGCGTGTTTGTTGGTTAGGGTTGGGCTTTTCTAATTATTAATGCAGTCAAGTAATTAAATCCTATGGTCGTACCTAGGGTTATTTCTTGGTTAGAGAAATAGTTAACGGTCGTACCTTAACTATTGAGAAATTAAGGAAAGGCTGGTTGTTCATCGCGTGTATGGCAACTATAACCAATCTATTAATGAGTAATTGAATTATCTTTGCGTCGATGATCAGTTGCATGGACCGTGTCTGAAAAGTTGTACCTTTGGCTAGAGTCATATTGGTTATTGATTAATTTCTATTTATTTTTATTAGTTGTTTTATTAGTTAGTTAATTAGTTATTTTATATTCTCCAAAAACCCCCATACTTCGGACTCTAAAGGAAATAAATTATCCCCAGTCCCTGTGGATTCGACCCTGCTTATCACTATCTACAGAAATTATATTTTATTTAAGCAGGTATTTATTATTGCACAGGCTCGGCCCCTGTCAATTTTTGGCACCGTTGCCGGGGATTGGTGCCAGATTAATTTGTTTCTTTTTGAATTCATTGTGTTTTTATTTTTTTTTATTTATTTTTCTCTTATTTTTTTCTTATATAGTTTATGGCTTCTAACATTCCGTATTTTGGTGATATACTGGATTTTGTTTCCAGGGAAGACGATGAGTCTTGTTTTGTTCCTAAGTTTGCATACTCAGAGGCACTAAACTCTATTAGAGAAAGAATGGCTGCTGCAACCTGTAAAATTTGTTATGCCAGGGATCATTCAACCGGTATGTGCCCCCGAATATCAAGATAATCTGAGTGTCCCACTCAATAATTATGGAGATTTTTCACCCTGGTCTCAAACGTGGTATAACCCTAATCCAAACGGGTATGATCAAGGATGGTGGGATAACTCCGGTTATAATTATACATCGGGGCCAATGAATTTTCAGCAGTATGAGTCTCAAGAATCGTCATCTATGTCAAGTATGTCTCTTGAAGGAATAGTTGAATCAATAGCTACTAATACATACCAATTCCAACAGGAGACACAAATGAGGAATGAGATGATGAAGGATGCAATGAGTTATCTGGCAGATCAACTATGTCTATTGACATCCAGAATAAATCGATTGGCTTCTCAATTTGAAGAATTGCCCTCGAAAACCATTGTTGATTTTGAAGAAAATGAGTGTGCAATTTGCTTGATTAGTGGTGAGGAGATGCAAGAGTGTCAAAATGAGAGATGTACAGATGCAGTTGAAAAAGAAGTCGAAAAGGAAGAAATGGAACCCCAACCGCAACCCATTCAAGTGAAAAAATCCAGTGAAGAATCATCAAATGACACCACCTCCATTCCCTAACCCGCATTTTCTTAACTCTTACTCTATGATTTCTGTTAATGAGATTGATTTTGTTATACCGGAAGTTTTTGAGTCTCATGGCAGAAATAAGTTAAGAGTGGCTATGGTCAAATATCTTGAACCGTTGAGTGCTCTTGATGGAGGAATGGATGAAGAATTGCGATCAATGCTTGATTATTTGGCGCCATCAACTAGTCCATGGAAGACCGTAGCTCGTGTGCTCAAAGATTACTTCATCTATGAGGGTTACCAGGATCACATTGAAGATGAAGCATTGAAGCGAGCTACAAGATTTTATCCTCCGTGAACAAGCATAGCATGTCTAGCCAAAGACATTAAAGAAAGGCACTTTTTGGGAGGCAACCCAATTGTTAATTTTGTTATTTTTGTGTTCAATTTCTTAAATATGTCGTTTCTCACTTGGGTACTAATCACTCTTGATGTTTCCTCACTATGACCAGAATAGGTAATCTTGGCGTGCCCACGCGAGCAGGGCACGCATTAAGCGTCTAAATTCAAGTCTCATGGTCAGTGGACGTTTTACAATCTTGGCGTGCCCACGCGGTGTTTGACGACCCAAAAATGAATTCAAAAAAAAAAAATTAAAATTTCACATTGAGAAAATTCAAAAAGCATTTTTTTTCTTTTTCTTCAAAAATTCAAATTTTGAAAATTTCAATTCGCAAAAAAAACATGAAAAAAAAACCCCAAAACCATTTTATTTTCTTTTATTTTTTTCTTTTCTTTCTCTCTTTTCTTTTTCCTTTTTTTTCTTTTCTTTCTTTCCTTTCTTTCTTTCTTTCCCTTTTCTTTCTCTTCTTCCCCGCTGCCCTGTATCCCTTTCCTTCTTTTCTTTCGCTCATCCGCCATCATCTCCCTTACTCTCTCCTTAGTCCGACGCCACCGGTCTCCCTTTCTCATCCATTGCCGCACGCCGCTGACCAGCTTCCATCGCCGCCGCCTCCGAGCTCCAAGCTCCACGTCACGGACCACCTTCAGCAGCTCCAAAGGCCGCCGCTGCTCCCCTGCCCACGGCCGTCCACCCACAGCTCACTGAGCTCCTCCGTTCCAAGCTCCACCCGCCACCTCCACTCACCAGCTGTGCACCGCCGCCTGCCCGCGCCCCACAGCCACCGCCACCAGCCCGCGCCGCTGCTGCTATCCACTAGCTCGCGCGCCTCTCTTTGCTTACCAGCTGCGCCGCACGTCGCCGCCGTTACTGTCTGCCATGCCATCAGGAGCCGCGGCCACCGCCAGCCCTTCAGCTCGGGCACCGCCACAGCCCACGGCCAGATCCTCCCTCGCGCGACCTTGTCCTGGCCAGCCCTCCACCTCGCGCGACTCCAGCCGTGCGTGCATCCACAAGCCCACAGCCAGTGACCGCTGCGCGCCGCTGCCTCACGTCAGCAGTCGCGCACGCAACAGCTCTTCCTCCTCCGCGAGCCTCT